TGGAGCCAAGCAATTTTCACAAAGTGGTTTAAAGTAGACAATGAGAGCCTCTGATTTAAGAAAAGGGGAAATGGATATAGATTCTGAGAGGAGGACCGTTATCCGGCCCCTCAGTGAGAGACTTTGCAGGTGTCGACGTAGGATTGGACCCATTGAGGGACATAACTTGCGGAGTGTGCTTCCCTTCCAGTTCGTGGAGTGGCCTGGTTCTGTTATCTGAATACGTTGCTGCGGCTGACTGTGCTCAGCCAGAAGACCTGACCAGACACGACAGACTAAATGTGGTTGTGTTTGGGCCTATAGCAAAGCAAAGACAAACTGCTTGTGACCGCCTACCCGTGAGTCAGGCACGGGAAGGGGGCCCGGGCACGTCCCCTGGCACCCTTGGGCCAGCTTCCTGCTCCCGCCCTGGAACCGGCTGCTTGGCCTGAGCTCCCTGCCACCCTCCCCCCACCGAGGTGGCCATAGGCCACGGGGTTGGCCTTCTTTACGCCCAGTGGGGTTACTCCTGAGAACTCCCTTTCCAAAGTTGTTATTTAAAAGTTGCTTTCTCCGCAGCGATGGTATTTCTATCTTTGTTATCGTAGCAGTTAGAGAAAGGTTTGTTTGTTTGTTTGTTTTTAAGATTTATTTATTTATTTGAGAGAGAGAGAGCGGAGAGGGGCAGAGGGAGAGGGAGAGAGAAACCCAAGCAGACTCCACACTGAGCATGGAGCCCGACATGGGGCTCAATCTCACAACACCAAGATCAGACCTGAGTCAAAACCAAGAGTAAGAAGCTTAACCGGCACCACTCAGACATCCCTAGAGAAAGGTTTTTAAAGGCAGATGTACTTGATGAGGCTTTTTTCTCTTTTTTGTCTTTCAAACATTGGGTGGTCCCAGTTTGGAGTCATTTTGCTTTTATTTATGACTGAATGATGGTGATTTTCATTAGCCACCTGACTCTTCCAGGTTCTTCAATGCTAACTATCCCTGAAAAGAGAGAGAACTGAGAATCTGCTCCCTCTGAAATCTGAAACAGAAAGCAGCCTTAAAGGAGTGAGGATGGAATAGTCAGGTGCGGGTTTTGTTGACCGCTCTTCACCGTGTCCTTCCGTTTCAACACAGCTATCAGAAAAACTTCATGGCGTAAACCTCTCAACAGATGGTACTTTCGTGAATGGGAAGGAGAGGCAGATACTTGAGGTTTGCTTCAGAGGGAACCCTGACTATTCAGTTAGAACCGAGACTTGATTTTCCTGATCACGGGGCATTCTTTCTACTGCAGATATCTCCAAGGCCTTGGTTCTAACGGAAATCGGCCCCAAACGTGACCCTGCCACTCTGAAATTGTTCCTGAGCAACATGGAGAGGTTACTGCACGCCAAAGCTCATGGGTATGACTTTTCAGTTCCCAGAACACCCCGGGGCCAAAGAGGAAAGTGCCAAGCACACGGTCTTGCTCACAGCTCCCCGGGGAGAGAGGAAGAGATCCCCCGTGATGGGAGGTGGCCCACCCGCACCCCACGTGGATGCCGGGGGAGCCGCATGACGCTTCAGCGGCCGGGGTGTACCTCGTGCAGCCAGCTGTCAGGGAACCGGCAGGAGACCTTTGTTCCTTTCCAAGCAGCTTCCAGAAGCCAAGTGACGGACCTTAAGGCCCCCAACCAGCGAATCGTGTGTGGGCTTAGAGCCCTTCATAAATGACATCACTTCAGCAAACATTCAGGAAAAGTAAATCCAAGTCCAAGTGAATCTGCTCCCACCTCCCACCCTCTCTAGTCTATGCGGTACTAGCCCCACGAGGCAGTTTAAATTTAAGGGAAAGTGCCGTAGAGTTAAGACTTGAGTTCTTCAGTTGCAGTGGTCACATTTCAAGTGCCCAGCAGCCACCGGCGGCCAGTAACTCCCACCGTGCAGAACGTTTCTATCCTCACAGGAAGTTCTCTTGGGTGGCGCTGCTCTGCGCCCCAGATCTTGAATCTAGAGCTTATTAGAGAAGCCCCATGGCTCATGTTTAATGACTGGGAATGCCCGGCAAGGGGGTGACTTTGGATGACGTCAGCTATTGAAGAGACATCCGACTCGGGCCCAGCGGCACTCACGGGAGCCTTTGCCCCCTTCCCTCTCCTCCAGGGTCCGAGTGATCGGGAGCTCCACCTTGGCGCTCTGCCACCTGGCCTCGGGGGCCGCGGATGCCTATTACCAGTTTGGCCTGCACTGCTGGGACCTGGCCGCTGCCACAGTCATCATTAGAGAGGCAGGTGGCATTGTGATGGACACTTCAGGTGAGCCCCTCTGACCCTCGGCCCGCTGTCCATCCCCAGGGAAATGACAGCAGAGACCAGATCCAGTGTCCCACCAGACCCAGTGTCCTCCCAGTCTAGACGTGGTCACACCACCAGACCCAGCATCCCCAGGCTAAACCAGGTGAGGCCACCAGACCCAGTGTCCCCCAGATTAGAGCCAGTAACACTACCAGACCAAATGCCCCCCCCCACCCCGAATCTGTTGGTGAGAGACCATGTGAGGACGTTGGAAAAGCAGTGGGCCAGTGCCTTCTCAGCTTCTGTGCTTCGCTACGCTACCCCTCGGGGCAGGGAGAGAGACCCCAGGGTCGGGATAAGGCCACACGGTGGCAGCACCACCACTACACACTCACGTACACTTGACCGTTTTCTGGCGTGCACGTTCTGACCCCACCAGACCCCACGCTCGCCAACCCATGAAGAGGAGGCTAGCACCCCCACACCCTGTAGCTCAGCACCCTGTGAGGTTTTAGGGGAATGGACCCCAAAAGCTGACCTGTCCTTCAACTTCAAGGTCCTCATGTCCCAGTGACTGACCCCCTGGGGGCAAATCCCATAGTGTCTCTGCCCCCGGAACTCTGCTTAGCTTCAGGCAGACCCCTCCTAGTCTAACTTTTAGGAACAAGGGGTCTGAGACTGGGTCGATCCTTTTAGATCCCATTCTCTAGCTTTTTAGTCACGACTCGTTAGCCAGCCTGCATTGGGTTACGGCTCAGACAGGCCCCACCCAGACCTGTAGGTTGGCACTTCCATCACATGGGGTCCCCGGTGCCACCCATGCAGCAGACGTTTGAGAACTCTCCCCTGTCCTGGTCTAACTGATCCTGTGAACCTCGGTCCCAATTGCTGGACCTGAGCCTGCATTCCCCCAGCACAGCCTCGACCGCTGTCTTGCTGGGACAGCAGAGCAGGTGCCGAGAGGCCGCACCCTCGCTCAGGTCAGGCCCGCGTCCAGACCTTGCTGTTCGGTCCTGCCTCGCGCCTGGCCCTGGACCTTTGTTTTCCTTGGAATGTGCGTGTGCCGAGTCCTCATTTGGGACTGTTCTGCCTTCTCCAGGAACTCAGGCGCCCTCTCTTCTCTCTCTGTCCTCAGGTGGACCTCTCGACCTCATGTCTTGCAGAGTGGTTGCTGCGGGCACCCGAGAAATGGCGACGCTCATAGCTCAGGCCTTACAGACGATTAACTATGGGCGGGATGATGAGAAGTGAAAGGGAGCAGAGAGGCAGAGAAATGTGACCCACGGACTGGGCCTTCCCGGGAATGCTGGGGCTGGCGGCGAGCCCGAGGGATGAAGCTGCCTCGAGCGGTCTGCACGCATCAAGTGTCTCTGACAAGCCCCAAAGGGAGGTGTTATGCTAAAGTATGTGGCTTTCTGGTTAAATCCACGTCTTTCACCGGGATGCAGTGTTTAGCTGGTGTCTCTCTTTAATCTCACACAGCCTTTATCAGGCTCATACAAGTTCTTCTATCAGGGCCAAAACCCCAATTTTGGATGATGTACATATTAAAAATTCAGTCTCTATTTTTTCCCTCCAGAATGTAAATCTCAGGTAATGCGGCTTTAGAACTGCTGATAAAGCGGACTTGTTCTCAGGCCCTCCCCCATGGTACTTCAGAATGCAATAAATCAAAGTAATGGCGCTCTGCTGCTTATCTGTGTCCCTCCGTAAGTGTGTCACCTGTTTCCCCAAACAACCCACAGCACCCATGGCTGGAGATCCAGGCTCTTTGGGAAAGCTTGCATATTAAAGCCCAAAGTTGGCAGCGTTTGCTCTCTGCTGCCTTTGATAAGCACTGCGAACACGACTTCAGTAATTATCATGTGTGTGTTAACAGAGAAAAGTGAGGCATAGGAAAGCTTTAGGAATTTATGTGAGCAAAACCAACTCCAGTCGGGCAGCACCAAAGCAGAAGTGGCCGGAAGCACTCTGGCCACGGGAGCTGGGGAAAAACCTTCATAGAGAAAAGGCGAAAGCAAAGTAAGGGACTCAGCCATTGACTCTGGTTTGAAACCTCGTAGGACCCGAGCGCAGTGCGACTGTCTAGCGTGCTGATGGCTGCAAGCGTGCGAGACCTGAGCGAACACGCACACCGGACTGACCGTGATCCTATTAGGAGGAAAATACCAGGACACTGAGTAAATAAACTCCTCGCCCTGGCCCCCGGCCGTGAACCAAACCAGTTGGTTTCAAATGAATCAGAGGATGTATCAGATGAGGTATCAACCTGTATAGGAGGAGCTTAAACAGTTCATTTCTTGCGTTGGAGTTTCTACAAAACCAGGGGTGTTGATCTAGGAACAGCACGGGCTACTTGCCATGGCACAGACTCCCCCTTGTTCAGCCAACAAGTAACCTAAAGCAGTCCCATTATGTAAAACCACCGCAGCGAGAGACGGCTGTTAGACTCAGCGGGGGTTGCCAGAGGTAAGGGTAAGTTTCTAATGGAATGTTCACTTGTAATAACTCCAAGCCAAGGAGGAAGGGACCTTCCAAATGACGCGCCTCTAGAGGGGTTAACATCTGCCAGTAAACTTCTTTTAGGTAAATTCACGGGAATGGAACACTGTTGCGTTTCCAAGGTATTATGAAGGGACAATGGAACAGTAAACACAGCCAGGGCACTTTGTCCTTTCACCCTCCAGATGTCAGGACACTGCCCCAAACTCTGCATGTAAAGGTGTAGCCAGGAGGTACATATAGGGCTCCCTCAAGTATTAGCATTCATAGACCCATTCCCGGGTATAGAGGTTGGCATTCTTCATCCAAGACTCACATAGTGTATTATCACATGTTGAAAGACTGCCCAAATGGACGGGCCTAACAGCAAGCCTACAAATGGTCTGACCGACACTGGCTGTCCTGCAGCATCTTTTGTCTATGCATTCAGTGAATCCTGTTTTCCCATCCCAGGATTGGGTTAAATTGAGGCAAGAAACAAGAGTATGTAGATTTAGTATGTTAACTTTATAAAACGGACCTGCAGGACAATTTAGGCACACAGTGGCCTTCAGGATGCCCTTCAAGTCCTGATTTTGGTTTAGCATGACGAATCCAGCAGTTAGTTTCCTACGGTAGCTGTTGTTTTCATGAAATCCTAATTATAGTATTGTCTTCCCACACATTAATAGAAAAGGCAGATAGCCAATAGGCAAAAGGGATAAAGGTTTCATGCTGGAGATGAAGATTTGGATCCATGATCTTGGGAGAGTTGTCCACCCCAAGCGTCATATGATTCTGAGGAAGAACCTCTGTGGTCAATTTTAACTTCACATCTCTGGCTGATACATAGTTCCGAGAGTCTGGAGGAGCCCTTTCAACTATGAGCTGTGGACCCAGGGTTCAAGTTCCTGAAGTTAGGCTGCCATCTGGGTAGTGAGGAGAACCTGGTATGGTCCCTTCTACTTAGCAGTTCATTCAAGTCTTTCTTAGGTGTCGTTTCCAAAACGACCCACTCTCCAGGTTCTAAGTTGTGGAAGGTTAAACCATCTGCAGGAGGGTCATGAAAAGCTTCCTTTACCTGGTAGAAATACACTTTGGCATAATACATTAAAGCTTTACAATACTGAGTCATACCAGAATTTATGAGTGCGGGAGACACATGTGGTTCTATCATCAAAGGCATAGGTCTTCCTATTACTATTTTATGAGATGTTAATTTGTGCTTTCCCGTAAGTGTCGATCTCATTGCCATCAAAACCAATGGTAGAACTTCTGGCCAGGGCAGTCCAGTCGATTCTGTTAATTTAGCTAGCTTTAGTTTTAAGTTACCATGTGTCCATTCGACTTTACTGGATGACTGAGAATGGTAAGGACAGTAGTCAGGCCATTGCGTTAGCAGCACCCTATTTGTTTATTTGCCCAATGAAATGAGTTCCCCATCACTGGAGGTCTCTCTGGGGATACCCCATAAAGAAAATTGTCTTTTCTAAGCGTTTCTTAGCCGTGGTGATGGCATCAGCCCTTCTGCAAGGTTTCAGTCTGTCCTGAGAAAATGCAAACAATGACAAGGACATATTGATAACCCATTGTGGGAGCAATTGAATGAAATCCATTTGTAAGTGTTCAGATGGCCCCAAAGATGGTAGAATGCTCCATCTAATGGGCCATCTTAATGGTCTTCCCAGGGTTAGGGGTTTGATCAATCAGACATTGCGACCTTGGAGCGGTCTCCCACCAATACTTTTCATAATTTAGGTCATTTTCTTCTGTGCCACATTGAGTTGCAGAAGGTAGCACTTCTAGTAATGGCAGTTTTAAGGACTCGGGAAGAACCAGGAGCCCATCCAGGCCCTCAGCATATCCTCATCTAATATTAAATTTGCACGCTTGGTCTCAACATTTGTCGTTCCAGCTCAAGTGCCTGATTTTGTCTTTTATATAGATTATCATAAATAATTTGGTTAGACTCGGTCTTAGGAGTTCATTCAAGTTGTATATTGGAACAGTTTTAGTGCTGGCTGATTTCACATCGAAGTCTGCTAGAGCATTTCCCTGATACTCAGGTTCTGTCTTCTAGTATGAACTTCGTTTTTAATCCTTCCAATTCAGTCAGGGGATAGAATGGCAGAGAGCAGTTCATTTACTCCAAGTCCAGTTTTCCAGAAGTGAGGAACTTTCTGTTTCCATCATGGAGCAAAGGCAAAGACCACCCAAAGGCATATGTGCTCGAGGTATCCTTGGGTGGCTAACACGTGAGGGCATGTAACTCCGCTGTTCCTGCTTGATACTGCCCTCCTGCATTCTTAGCATAGGACCCATTGACCAAGAGTATCAAATCTGGGATTTCTAATGATTTGTCCTGTAAGTCATGCGAAGGGTCAAGAACCGTGATACCACATCTACACGTTTACGCAGATCCATACCATCACTGGGCCAGGGCAGCAGGCTTGAGTGACTTGCAGCACAATAGAAGGAGGTTCGAAGGTGAAAGGAGAAGACTCTCACAAGACGTTCATCTACTTGCTGAAAATGTTGAATCTGATCGCAGTGTAATAGACTCTGACCAGCCTGAGGTACTTGTAATATTAGGTCATGTTCTAACACCGGTTCAGCTGAGGATCCCCCCCCCCCAGTTGAGACGCTGTGGCTACTGCTTGGATGTCCTCTGGTTCCTGGGTCTACCTGTAAGCTGTGGTCAGCAGTAGATCTGTGTTTTCCTCCATGCTCTTGGGTTAGAATTCCTAGAGCCTGGTTATTGCTCTCATGGACAAATAAGGTGAAAGGTTTAGTATAATTTGGGAGCCCTAGGGCCAGAGTTTGTTGCAGGGCTAATTTTAGTTGGCTAAAGGCTTGTTCATGGGGGCGCCTGGGTGGCTCAGTTGGTTAAGCGACTGCCTTCGGCTCAGGTCATGATCCTGGAGTCCCAGGATCGAGTCCCGCATCGGGCTCCCTGCTCGGCAGGGAGTCTGCTTCTCCCTCTGACCCTCCTCCCTCTCATGCTCTCTGTCTCTCATTCTCTCTCTCTCAAATAAATAAAATAAAATCTTTAAAAAAAAAAAAAAAAGGCTTGTTCATGATTAGCTTCCGAGGATAAGGGCTCTGGAATTGAGTTCCTTGTAAGCTCATACAGAGGCGATGCAATCAGAGAAAAATGTGGAACCCGAGACCTACAATACCCTGCAAGTTCAGGAAATTGTTATTAGTTGTAGTTCTGGGGAAGTTTTGGGTGGTCTTTATTCTTTTAGGTGAGAGGAAAATGCCTTCTGCATTCAAATCATGTCTTAGATAGCGGACCTTCTCTTTTGAGAATTGGACTTTTTCCTTGGAAGCTTTACAGCCTTTACAAGCTCATTGCTGTAATAGTTAAACTGAATCTATTTCTGAGTCTTCCCTTAGAGGGAAGCATAGCAATAAGGCATCTACATACTGATGAATATAGCATTCTTGAGGAACTGTAAGATCTTGATATAAAACCCAGGACAAACAGAATGGGGCTTCAGTGACCCCTTGTGGCGTTATCATCCAGGTATATTGTTGGTTTTTCCAAGTAAAGATGAATAAATATTGATTCTTGCTGTCAACTGGGATGCTGAAGAAAGCAGAGCAAAGACCCACCACTGTGATCCACTTCACATTAGATAACAAGGTGTTGAGATTTGGAACGACGGGAACCTTCAGATCACAATTTTATTGATTGCATGCAGATCCTGGACACACCTTGTCCATTTGGTCTTTTAATGGGAAGATTGGAGCATTACAGGGACTAGTGCATGGGATTTGGAGTCCTTAGTTAAGTCTTCTGTAGTCGGTGAGAGCTCTTCAGGAGATTCTGGTCTTGATGAATATTGAGACAATTTAGGCAGAGGTTTGGAATGATCTATTTGGATTTCTATGGGTTCAGCACTCTTAATTTTGCCTTTGTTGGTTGAGGAAGAAGCCCATAGGCATTCAGGCACTTCTGAGAGATCGGGACTTTCACACTTTCCGGTCTCCATTTCATCAAGTCCTGCTTGGAGAGAGGAGAGCAGCTCAGGTCATTTTTCCTCCTAGTTAAATTGTATATGACTCCTCAGTTCAGAAGGCCAATCTTCTCCTAACAGGTTTACGGGGTCAGTGCCACACAAAAGGAAAGTATGGTTTCCTGGAAATGGCCCTAATATCATCTGGACTGGGTTAGATACAGGTACCCTTTGATTTGGTGAGAAACCCTTACTACAGAAGTATTTTCTTTACTCTGAGGGATTGGCTATTTTATGAAAGTGGGATTTATTGTTGATAAAGCTTATGCAGACCCACCAATACTGTGTAGGATTCTCCATTGATTTTTTCTTCATTTCCCCTTGCTCGTTTAGAGGTATCATGGGGAGCAGTTTCCTGGAGAATCCCTTGGAACTCCATCAATGCTTATTATTTTGATAATTAAATTTTTTAAGCCCTCCCCTGATGGAAAAATAGTGTGAATTAATAGGTAGAGGTCTATAAAACGATAGGTTTGGCAGCAGGCCTTCCTTTTTCCAATGCCCTTGTTTATAATGAAGGCAGACATTTAGGGGCTGGTTCAGTTGGTAGAGCATACAACTCTTATTCTTGGGGTGGTGAGTTCCAGCCCCGTGTTGGCTGTAGAGATTACATAAAATCTTTTTAAAAAAATTATAAATTACTCATAAAATTTTCAAGGACTCCCTTTAGTGTTTGGAGAATCTTTGAAGCTTCAGCCTTTGACCATGGAGAAAGGTGGTTACATCTGGTATTCCAGGCTCTGCAGATGACCTCACTTTAAAAGGCATTGGTTTAACCTCTAGCTCATCTTCAGAGTGCAAAGGCAATGGAGTGAAGGGACCCACAGATTCAGAATATTTGGGGAGAGGAGGGTACAGGGAAGGAGCACTCAGACAAGTTAGTGTATACTTCTTTTTAGATTCACCACCATTGTTGTATAAGCTTTTCATTTGCCTTTTGTACAGAATCTTTTAAAGAAACATTTTTTGATTCATTCAGTTTCTTAGAAGCTTCTGCATATCAATAAAAAATGCATTCCTTTGTTTTGGGGAAATTCGGAACTTTCTTTTCTCTAGAGCATTTCATAAATGGATAAGCTCATCTAGGTTATAAGTTCCCAATTTGACCACCATAATGCAAGAGGATCCTGGGTATGTATAGTTAGCCAGGGTCCCAGATGGAGGAGTCCCAGATTGTTTGGACTCAAAGGAACCCATTTTCTACCCCGATTCCCTGCCCAACCCCCCCCCCCCCCCCCCCGTTTATTCCCTGAGGCCTCACTTGGTCCAGTCCAGCTTAAGTTGGACCTAGTCTGGCCCTGGACCTCAAGGACCAAAAGAAATCCTCAAGTAAACTCAGAGAGCTCTTTTAAATGTGGAAACTGCAGAGCTCAGTTCTTACCCGCAGCATCCAGATGCAGTGAGAAAAGCAGTGAGCCCACTGGGCTCAGCAGGTATCTGCCCCTGGTTGCTCCTTGCTCCTGGGGGCCATGGGGGTGGGGGGAGGTGGTTCACCTTCATATACACCAAAACTGTTGAAAGATCAACTGAGGCATGTTAACATTTTAGTTTGAGCAAAAATGGCTTCCAACCAGGCAGTGCCAAACTGGAGGTAGTTAAGAGAGATCCACTGACAGGAGTTGGGGGGAAACTTTTATAGAGAAAAGGCAGAAGTAAAGTGAGGAAATAGAGCATGAGTCCTAGCTGGCTGCTTGGGATTGGTGGTCCTTAGGTTTCACTTTTGTAACCTTGAGGCATTTACAGGCTTAGATGGTTTGGGTTGGTTTAGAGCCCTGTCGGTCTGATGGCCTCCTTGTTTCATTAACCTAACACATGTTAGTATATGAAATCCAAGACATGGGACAAACTGAAGAAACATGAATAACTCAAAAACAAATCTCTGAGAAATTAGATTGCTTCTGTGATCCATTTATTTAATGAGGAGAAATTGTACTTTCTGGGCTTTATTTTTTCCCTCTGTAGGAGATGGAATTACATAAAGGATGTTCGCTGACTAGCCAGGTATCCTTTCTGAAGTTTAAGAATTGGGAAAGTCAGGGGCCCCTGGGTGGCTCAGTTGGTTAAGCGTCTGGCTCTTGATCTCAGGCTCCTGAGTTCAAGCCCCAGGTTGGGCTCCATGCTGGGCCTGGAGCCTACTTTAAAAACAAACAAACAAACAAACAAACAAAAAAGATAGAAAGTCAGGCTAAGATGGAGAAAACTGCAACCTGCCCTTTTTCCCTCATGTTCCTAATTTACCATCAATGCCAACAAATATGGAGTGTTTGGGAGCCTCCGTGGCATCTGCTGTCTCTGGCTCCTCAAATTCAGAGGTTGCCTGTACAATAACCCCGGCCACTTTCATCGGGCCATACCTGTGAGGAGTCCTCGGCACGCCCCAGGCTGACCCCCAAGGTGTCTCCTCTCTGGACACTGGTGGACCCTTCACTGCTAACTCCCCCACACCACCCGCCTCTCCTCTCACACGCAAGCTGCATGCAGGCCCCCTGCTCAATGCAAAGAGTAGAGCCCCCAGTGAACTTCCCCAGAGGATTAGTCCCTTTGGGAGTCAGTTACCCAGATGCCTACCACCACATCCCCTTGGGTTATTAATTGGTAAATTTGCTATCAAAAAGGAGTTTCTTTTTCTGATCTGAATGGGGTGATCAGATGAACCCCCAAAAGGTGCACAGTTCAAGGGCTCAGATGTGAGGACTGGGATCTCCTTTGGGACTAAGGAGTCTAATGTGCAGGGGAGGCCCCCCATTTTGATACCTGCAGGAAGTTGGCACATGGCATACAGGGCCATAGAACTTCAGGGCCAAGGGCCTTAACTACTTGAAGCTTCTGCCACCCCTGGGAGTCTCGAGTGTCCTGCATGCCCTGTTGACCAGCATCCAGCCTCTTGCTGAACCCCAGGAGAGGCACACCATTCCTCCAGCAAGCACCCCCACACCCAGATCTTTCATATCATTAAAATGTTCTTTGTTCAAGTTAATTTGGAGCAACTGAAATATGTAAGCACTCAACGAAGGTTTTCTGAATGACTTTAGTTTTAATACATTTTAAAGATTAGTGACATAGGGGTGCCTGGGTGGCTCGGTTGGCTAAGGATCCAACTCTTGATTTTTCACTCAGGCCATGATCTCAGGGTCATGGGATGGAGCCCTGCATCAGGCTCCACGCTCAGCGGGGAATCTGCTTCTCTCCCTCTTCCTCTGCATGCTGTCTCACTCTCTCTCTCAAATAAATCTTTTTTTTTTTTTTTAAAGATTTTATTTGTTTATTTGACAGAGAGAGACACAGCGAGAGAGGGAACACAAGCAGGGGGAGTGGGAGAGGGAGAAGCAGGCTCCCCGCAGAGCAGGGAGCCCGATGCGGGGCTCGATCCCAGAACCCTGGGATCATGACCTGAGCTGAAGGCAGTCGCTTAACCAACTGAGCCACCCAGGCGCCCCTCAAATAAATCTTAAAAACAAAAACGATTACTGACATAAATGGAAACAAGCTACTCCAGCTAAAGGGAGCAGGCCATGCAGATCTGGCGGGGGGACGAGCAGGACCGGGCTCCAGGGAACTTCAGAGCCCAGAGGGGAGCCTTCACATTCTTACTAAAAATAGTTATGTAAGCAAATGAGACCCTTTGTAAACTTAATTTTCTAAGTTGTGTAGCTAACTTACTAAGTTTTCCATTAGAGAAGATTAGGGTCACTTTTTTAAATTGCGTTAATGAGTCCCCTCCCTAAAATGTGTCTCTCACCATGAACCGCCCCTGCTGTCATCACGACAGGCTTCTGTCCTCCGTGTTGAGCAGACACTTAATGACTTGCACGTGAAATACCAAAGACGCAAACTTTGGGGCTGCCAGAGTTGGGATGTGTTTCCATTGCCTAACGAAGAACCTGGAGAAAGGCGAAGAGTTCAGTAGGCTTCAGATACGGATGTGAGTCATTGCTTCATACAAAAACGCCAAAGGTAAAAATAAATGGCATTATTACATTAGGGGCATGCTCCAAGTACAGCTGTCCCACCATCCTTGCAGTGACCGTGTCCATACTAAATACACGTGGAGGCCGTGGTTAATAAGAGCACGCACAACACACCTGCCCTCTTGGTTCTCCAAGCTTCCTGGAAACCGCTGGGCTCTGAGAGCAGCTGTTGGTGTTCAGACCACTGTTTTATCACCTGGGCTCAGCACATGCGCTGTTGGAGAGACGTCTTGTACCCTGACAGTGATCATTTCAAAAAAATTTTCCCTAAGTATCAGTCTCCTAATCTGTAGGTTATTTACATGTATACACAGACAACCTTTATCCGTTTTTATACTGCCTCGAGGGAACCTACTTATGATACAAAGATAGTAGTAGAAGAGAGCCTTCCTCAAAACCCACATGTATTGGAAGGAAGAAAGAGAAACTTAAAAGCAATACCAAACTATTAAGGTAATTTAATATTATGGTAAGGTCATTCCGAACATAAATTAGTATCTTTTAGGCATACATCTGTGACTCTGAAAACACTGATGTGGGTTACTGAGCATAACTTTTTAATGCTTAAGATTCAAGGGGAAGCGTACAGAAGTGTGAGTAGCACACTGGACAAGGATCAGAACTGGTTCTGTATTCAACTCCTGGCTCTATACCAACTAGCCATGCGACCTTGGGCAAACCACGGAAAGAAACCGAGGCCCCACTTGATACCTAACATTTGTGCATTACAGTTCTCCAAGGCTTTTTCTAGATTCTGTTCCCTCAGCCTATGAACTAGTAAAGACCACACCTCGCCAAAGTTCCCAGCAGGAATGGAGAAGAGGTGTGTATTATCCAGCTCGAATAGCAAATACATTTTGTTTTTAAGCAACTCTGGGTTCTTTGTATATTTCCATAGGTTCACATTCTTGTGAGCACCGTATCTTAATTACCTTTTGTAATAGTCGTGTCTTTGAGGATACGGAGCCTACTCCAAGTCTGACCACCCTCGAGAAAACCCAGAACTGCTCTAATGCTCTGTGCTCCTGACTAGTTCCTGAATCACAATGACAGTCATCTTTGAGGAGGCTGGGTTTTCTTTCCTCTCTGGAAACAGCCCGATTTGCCATTTTATGACTTTGTTGAATGGGACTTTCTAATAAATGGTATGGCTTTTTTGAATGAATGTTTAAAATATATGCTCACGGGGCGCCTGGGTGGCTCAGTTGGTTAAGCGACTGCCTTCGGCCCAGGTCATGATCCTGGAGTCCCGGGATCGAGTCCCGCATCGGGCTACCTGCTCGGCAGGGAGTTTGCTTCTCCCTCTCCTGCTCCCCCCTCTTGTGCTCTCTCTCTCACTCTCTCTCTCAAATAAATAAATAAAATCTTAAAAAAAATAATAATAAAATAAAAAATAAATAAAATAAAATATATGCTCATGTCTCACCAAATTGTTGATGATCTTCTTAGGCTTAGATTTGCAAAATTTTATTTGCTCAGGATATACTCAAACAGTTCTGAGTAAAAATGCAGACACACAAGAAATTCCTTACTTTCTTCATGCATTTCGAGGTGTAACAATTATTAATCACATGATGCCTTTTAGTTCTTCAGTGTCTAATGGAAGATTTCTTCAAAGAAATAACTCCCCACAGGAAAAGCCTTTGAGAGAGCACCCTACGAGCGGCCTAAATGGGTGTCTCCACCTGTGTTTACTTCTGCGCTCTGCACTTGCTCAGAGTCCCGAGCTGGCTTTGGGAAGCTTTTGGCATGAACATTGTCACTGCCTCTTCCAGAGAAGCGGAGAGACCCCCTGGAGAACAGGGAGGTGCCTGAGACCCTGAAGCCAGAGGCCAGGCTGGGGCACAGAGCACAGCCCACCGTGGAACTTGACGCCCGAGTGCCGCTGCCCCGACAAGCCTCCCAGAAGCCAAACGAGCTCAAACAAGCTGCCCACTTTTATGATCTTCAGAGTCAACCAAACTGCTCACCCTATCATTGACTTCCTTGCAAAATACTGTTCACCTACTCTTTGATGATCTAGCCCAAAATAAAAGGGAGAACATTTGTCTTAGCACATCACTGAATGTCACTATCCAAACCAGGAGTCAGAAAACAGATTCTGGTCCCAAGTTCACACTAAAGTAGCTGTGTAACCTTGAAGTCCCTTGCCCTCTCTCGGTCTTTGGTGGAACGTGGAACCTGTCCAACCCCTCTCCCAGGGCTATTGAGAAGATGTCACAGGACAATATGTGGCGGTATCCAGAGCTGTGAAATGCTAGGTGATTTTTTTTTTTTTTTACTATTGAATATTCAAGAGTGAAAGGGATCATGGTATCTTTCACAGCCAAATGGAATGGTTCAGGTATTGGAGGAAGCTAGAAATATTTAGTCAGATTACACCATAGCTTACACAGGCTTTGCCTGACTTGTTAAGCCATTCACAATCAGTTCTATAATCATTCTGCACTCAAGACTTTAGGCAATCTCAGAAAATACCTCCCCTTGCTTTCCTCAGTAGTAACCACATTAAAATATGCAACACGCTTTAATCATCATGCTTTTTTCCATGGAGGCAAGCTATAAAAATAGATCAGACCTTTTTTTTTTTTTTTAAGAGAGAGAGAGTGCCTGGGGGGAGGGCAGAAGGAGAGGGAGAGAGAATCCCAAGCAGGCTCCACGCTCAGCAGCGCTGGGGGGGTTGGCGGGGGGTGCTGGATCCCACAAGCCCGAGATCATGACCTGAGCCGAAATCAAGAGTCAGAGGCTTAACTACGGAGCCATCCAAGGCGCCCTTAGAACAGACTTTTAAAAGCATAAGCAAAGAACCAAATCAGTGGCCTCAAAGTCCGGATGATTTCCAGAAGCAGCAGGCCCTCTGCACCAACCCTTTGCGTTCCCAGTGGATGGTGGGACGTGCGGGGGCCGTGCCCGTGGGCGCCACTCACCAGCTGGGCGATCCCGAGCTACCCGTGGAGCCTCTCTGGGCCTCCGAGTGAAACAGGTTAACCTGGGCTGCTCCCGGGGTCGGGCAGAGTATGTGAACCTGCGCGCACATGGCTGCATCCGACAGACGCACCACAAGAGCAGACAGACTTGCAGGAGCCAAAGGCTTCCCTCTCAGCGGCTTTGACCTTCCCTTACCGCTGGTAAAGACATGGCGGGGGGGGGGGGGGCACTCTGTCACCTCCTAAAGGCCTCCTGTAAAGGACGTGGGAAGACGAAGATCTGGAAGTGTGCGGAGTTCTGTGGCTGAGCTTCACCCGAAACGGGGCCGTCGCCTGCGCCTGGCCCTCCCCCTCCCCCGCGGCTCCCGGCCCTCCCCCGCCCGCGCCTGGCCCTCCCCCGTGGCTCCCGGCCCTCCCCCGCCCGCGCCTGGCCCTCCCCCGCGGCTCCCGGCCCTCCCCCGCGGCTCCCGGCCCTCCCCCGCCCGCGCCTGGCCCTCCCCCGCCCGCGCCTGGCCCTCCCCCGCCCGCGCCTGGCCCTCCCCCGCGGCTCCCGGCCCTCCCCCGCGGCTCCCGGCCCTCCCCCGCCCGCGCCTGGCCCTCCCCCGCCCGCGCCTGGCCCTCCCCCGCGGCTCCCGGCCCTCCCCCGCCCGCGCCTGGCCCTCCCCCGCGGCTCCCGGCCCTCCCCCGCGGCTCCCGGCCCTCCCTCGCCCGCGCCTGGCCCTCCCCCGCCCGCGCCTGGCCCTCCCCCGCCCGCGCCTGGCCCTCCCCCGCCCGCGCCTGGCCCTCCCCCGTGGCTCCCGGCCCTCCCCCGCCCGCGCCTGGCCCTCCCCCGCGGCTCCCGGCCCTCCCCCGCGGCTCCCGGCCCTCCCTCGCCCGCGCCTGGCCCTCCCCCGCCCGCGCCTGGCCCTCCCCCGCGGCTCCCGGCCCTCCCCCGCCCGCGCCTGGCCCTCCCCCGCGGCTCCCGGCCCTCCCCCGCCGCGCCGACACCACGCAGCCCCAGCCCGGTGCCACGCTCGGAACTCCCAGCCAAACAGAGGCGGACGGCAGGGAAAGAAAGCTGAGGACCTAGTGTCGGAAAGGAGGTCCCAAGGGCTGCTTCAACTCCGGGTGCGGGTTCTAGGCACCCAGGGCGCGGGGAGGTGGCCCGGGGGCAGGACCGCCACCACCACACCCGGCCAGGGAGGCCCCAGGAGCCTGGGGTTGGGAGGGGAGGGATCGCAAGGGTGGGCGTGGCAGGTGGGGCATGATTTGGGGCCTCGGGGGATGGGGGACGGCGAGATTCAGAATACACACATTCACATGCGAGGAGCAGCCGGCTTCGTTTCGGCTCCTGAGGGTCAGAGGTTCCCGTCTGACTCTTCGTCCGCCTCTGGCTCTGCTGTATCCACGACAGGAATGAAGGCCATTCTCAGCAATTAGACGGTCGACCTTCCAGAAAATGTCGACAGGACTCCGCAGGGACGCGCTGTTATTATGAAGGGCCCCAGAGGAGCCTGCAGAGAGACTTGGATCACATCGGTGTAGAAGTCCATCTCCTTGAGAAGAAAAAGAAGAGGCTCCAGGTTACAAATGGTGGGGACACAGAAAGGAACTGGCTACTGTTCGCACATCTGTGCTCACGTCCAGAATGTGAGCAAGTGTTACACTGGCTTCCAGCAAAACGTAAGGTCTGGTCTGCTCACTTCCCCATCAACATCGTTCTACAGGAGAATGGTTCTCTTGTTGAAATCTGCCATTTCTTGGGTAAAAATACATCTGCAGGGTGTGGCTGAGGCCCAGAAAGATGAGTTAATTCTTTTTTTTTTTAATGAGAGACAGAGAGCATGAGAGAGAGGAGGGTCAGAGGGAGAAGCAGACTCCCTGCTGAGCAGGGAGCCGGATGCGGGACTCGATCCCGGGACTCCAGGATCATGACCTGAGCCGAAGGCAGTCGCCTAACCAACTGAGCCACCCAGGCGCCCCAAGATGAGTTAATTCTTGAAATGACATTGAACTTGTATCAAATTCAGCTGCTTTGATTCAGCAAGCCACAACAGTTAAAAACAAGGGTACCATAACAATAAAAAATAAAAAACAAACAAACAAAAACAAAACAAGGGTACCAGAAAGTTTGGGGATGGTATCTATGTTTCTGAAAAAGAAACAGTTCAAGAGATGGCTGATGAATAAGATTTCAATTGTCCAGCTACAGAAGCAGCAAGATGACTGATGAGTCCTCAGACTTATTTGTGGTATTTCAAAGATGCAATGAAAGTTGTGTACTGATTGGGGCAAAAACCAAACATAGGCCTGGGTAACCCTGGAGCCCCTACCCTCCAGTGCCCGGCCCCGAGAAGTCCCACTGGAGAGGGCTGACAGGAGGGGCTCGCCCCCGGCTCCGGCAGCACCCGTGAGCATGGGGCCCAGGCTTCGTGGAGTTTGAGGAGGTGGGGGGGAGGGTTAGGTCAGGAATCAGGAGCAGGGCATTCCAGGTGGAGTGGGAGCACTGGCCGCGGGAATGCCATGCAAGGAGAGCTCCGAGTGCTGCGTGGCTGGGGAGGGGCATGGTGTCATCCGGGAGAGGGACAGGGAGGTGATGCTAAAGACACAGGGCCAACTCAGAGGGCCTTGGGCACTAAGCACAGCAGTTACCACTTCATGCTGAAAACACTCAGAGAGTACTTTTGTCACCCGGCCTCTCCAGCGGTTGGTAGGCGAGCTGTGATTCCATGAGGCAATTTCATTGTTCACCAGGCATGCAACAGGGTGTCTTCTGTTCGGTAGGATGATCTGATACATCCATGCATAACTTATCTGGGGACTTGGACAATATCTCCTGGAGGTTTCTTCCACCTAACAAGGGAGTCTCTCAGGTGGGGGTGGGGGAGGCATAGGAATCACCTGGTCCAACCTCCTGCCCAGGTAAATGACCTGGTCTCTATCCTACAGATTCCCCCCCCACTCCCGTCACTAGCCTTACAGTAGATTGCAGGTATGCCTGACGGATTCGCTGCCAGAAAAGCAACAGTAACAGTCATTTAGTTTCCCCATCAGCCTTGGGGGAGGAGGAAGACGTGCAGGGCCCGAATGGCTCAGGGCCACTCCGATATGCTGAAATGCTGTGCAATCTCATTTCGCCTGCGTAGGTCTAGATGGCCTGACCCAGCACGGGCAGGCCTCTGTCCCCTCCCCATCCCCCGGATGGCCTCGCTTCTCACCCCCAGAGTCGGCCAAGCTCTGTGCACATCTGGCACCCGGACCAGATTCACCAAAACCATCTCAGTAAGGGTCCGGATGATGAAAAGCCCTTTCATCCTTGTTTTAGGTTTCAGCCTCCAACTGCCGCTTACCAGAAGTGTTTCCATGTTGTGACTTCTTTGGTTCTCCACATCTCAAATCTCAGCAAGGTGCCCCCAAGGCTTCTGCCCTGGACAGGGAGGCAGTTCCCCACCCTTCTCATGCTGCAGGACCCACGTGGCACAGAGGGCCAGGTCTGCAGCCTCCCTGGCTTGGAGAAGAGTGACTCTCACGAAGATATTAATGACTTAAGGGGCAACTGAGTGGCTCAGTTTGTTGAGCATCCGACTCTTGATTTCAGCTCAGTTCATCTCAGGGTCCTAAAATCGAGTCCACTTCCCCCTCTCCCCTCAGGCTCCAAGCTCAGCAGGAAGTCTGCTCAGGATTCTCTCCTTCTGCCCCTTCCCCTGCTCTCCCTCTCTCTAAATAAATAAATCTTTTTTTAAAAAAGATATTAATGACTTAAGGTCACACACACAGCAGGTATGCAGTTTTCTTCTTCAGTTTTCAACAACAAAAATTAAGTCAAAATCCTTAATCACCGGGCCCGTGGGTGACTCAGTTGGCTAAGCATCTGCTTTTGGTTCAGGTCATGATCCCAGGGTCCTGGGATCCAGCCCTGAGTTGGGCTCCCTGCTCAGCAGGGAGTCTGCTTCTCCCTCTCCCTCTGTGTGCACACTCACTCTCTCTCTCTATCAAATAAATAAATAAAGCCTTCAAAAAAAAAAATCCTTAATCACATGTGTTGCTATGAAGGTATGCCTCCCTGGTCATGGTCCTGCAGAGGTAGCTTTTTAGACTTCTATGTAGGGCTTTTTATTTTTTCCCTGTAGCAGTCCATCTTCTCAGCATGGCCTTTAGATCTTTGGGGATTCTGATTCTCTCTTCATTTTATTGAAATCCTGCCAGCACTAAGGCACCCAGGCGAGGGAGGCAGGTGAGTTTCCCACGCCCTCATGTTACATGGTCTAACTTCCCCACCCCCCACCCCCACCCTCCACCCCCACCCCACCCCCCTACTGCCCGTAGCTCAGGGCCAGCCTCCCTGTGAATCACTCCCTTACTCCCCAGAGAAGGAAGGTTTGCCAGGAGAGAAAGAGATATTTGGACAGGGTGTGTCCTTCTTAAGAGCCAGCTGCAGTTAGCCCCCTGAGGCTGGGAAGAATGTCGCAACCAGCTTCCAACGCCCAAGGGGTGTCCCCGCGTTATGGTCTCACTGCAAACCAGGGCGCACCAAAGCTTTTGGACCCCGGACTACATCTATTCCCCGGGAGTCCCGCCTCCCACCTGCGATCCCCTCCTCTTCATGGAGCCAGGGCCGCGAGGGTCCTGGGAGGCACATCCTCGCCAGAACAAGCCACTGGGCGGTGACTTCTGCGGACCGAACCTTCTGGACCAAATTCCCCAGAGAGGAGCTCAGCTTCTGGGGAAACTGGCCCGGCACCCCCCGCCCCGCCGGTGATTCTCTGCGCCCCTGGGCCTGGGACTGGGGTCCCGGCGGAGGCCGCGCGGTGCTGGGCCGAGGCCGCCCCCTGCTGTCGGCGGTGGCGAACTGCGCGGCGCCCGAGGCCGCAGGCGCTCTCAGACGTTGGCGCCCTGCAAAAAATTCGGCTCGGAGTTTATGCGGAGCCTTAGGGTGTGATTTGAGATGCCTGTCCGTTGAAGGCAGGGAGAACCTCGCTGCTCTGCTTTTCCGTATCCATGACTGTGCGGACACGGGATTTAGGCATCGTGACAGAGTAAATGCCATTATTCCATGCAATATGCCATAGTGCGTGGATAACCCCAAAATGTCAACATAGGTCATGGCCAAAGTAAAGATACGATGTAAAATTTGAGTCCGGTAAGAGAACAAGATGGAATTGAACGAGTTCATCCAGAGGTTACTCAAGTGTTTGGCAGAAGGTTGTTTTTTGTTTTTCATGGCTGCAATAATTACTTTGGAAAAGGCATTTAATGACTTTAAGTGAAATTTAAGATGGAATTGGAGCCCTGCTTCTGGACACTGACACGCAGAGTTTTGTGAGCTACAGAGTGTTGTGGGGCGGGGGCCAGCAGGAGGCGCCGGGAGGGCAGGGCGCCCCGAGAATGCGGGGTGGGGGTGGGGGGGCCGCTGCGGGGCGCTGGCCCGGGCCCGCTGACCTTGTCCGGAGGCGCCCCTGGCCGCGGCGCCCGCGGCTGCTGCCGACCCCCGGACCCCAGGGCCGAGCGCCTGCGCGGCCGCGATCGCGGACGCACCAGGTTGTGTGTGTGAAGCGGTGTGGAAATCTCCAACACTATCAGTCCGGTCTTCGGAGTTCAGCGGTGCCCCGTGATGAAGGAACAGTTAACGACAGAGTCGGCCTTCCCTTGCTAACACTTAACTTGGCCATCCAGAAGAGCGCGCTGTCGATTTGTGGTCAAACCGGCGTTAACAGCAGTCGGTTCCTTCCTCCAAAAGGAAGATTAAGGTGTCAAACTGCCGCCATCTTCACAGCAGATGGCAGTGAAATTGCAGCTTCAACCTTGATGGAAATTTTGCTAACGAATGATTTTAAACTTGTCATTAAGAGGTATGATGCCCCAAGAAAGAAAAAAACTGAACATGGAGCATGGAAAAATGGGAAATCTTTGGTTCACAGACTGTTTACAGCTTTGCGTTTAGAAGAGTTTCAGAAAGGGGCGCCTGGGTGGCTCAGTCGTTAAGCGTCTGCCTTCGGCTTAGGTCATGATCCCGGGGTCCTGGGATCGAGCCCCGCATCGGGCTCCCCGCTCTGTGGGGAGCCTGCTTCTCCCTCTCCCACTCCCCCTGCTTGTGTTCCCTCTCTTACTGTCTCTCTGTCAAATAAATAAATAAAATCTTAAAAAAAAAAAAAAAAAAAAAAAGAAGAGTTTCAGAAAAAGAGCACCGTTTACTGGAGAAAACCGACCACCTGAAGGGACAGCCGTGGCCTCTCCAACAGATCAAAGCTGGAATCGTATCTCGCTCAGGAGCCAAAACCAGCGGCCGTGGGTCCATTTCGGGGGCCCAGTGGCATGGCTCCCCCACTGGGTGTACTCCTGGGATGTGATGGAACCAGTGACAAACCTCAGCACATTTGCAAATTCCATGGTCTTTTTTGCATACTTCGTAGTCACTCGACAGAATCATAGGTATCAGCTGTTAAGGGTACGCAGTTTCTTCATTTCCTGCATGAGAAATCAAAGCAATGGCATTCCATGTGGTGCAGTACAAGTTAAGAGATCCTGCCAAGGCCACAGAATCCCTCAAACGGTGGCCACTCGATCCGTTTGCAAAT